TGTCAACGGATTCAAAGTGTACTTCAATCAAAGCAATTAAATTGCACTTCCGATGCTGGAACTATTATTTCACGAAGCCATTCATTTCATTTCGACATATGACGGTATCAGACATTTACTCTAGAGGAGAAAATAACTACCAGCACTAGGTGAATTCGTGTTTATATAATCTCCACATATTCATTGCGGTTCCTTTAATTAAAAACACAAGTTCAATAATACTGTAAATTCGTACTAACGAATATGGTAAAAATTTAATAAGTTTTTAAAATTAAAGTTTTTTTTGTCTATTCAGCAAATTTAACACAGTTGGAAATGCAGACTGTATAATTGGTGTTAGGACACATTAGAGTCAGAATTTTTTCTCTTTCTTTTAATTATTTAGGTACAATTTTAATCAATGAAAAATTTCATTGATTTTCTTACAATGAGTCAATGATTAATGCGAAAGATTAAAATCAATGAGTACGAGAGAAAAAATGGTGCTAATGTTTTTGAAAAATGATGTAACGCTTTGGACAATGTAGATATTCAACGATAAGCAGATAATGTCAGTAATAACAACTACATTAGATGATAAATGACGGTTTGGGAATATGTGAAAGGTTCGTTTATTTGGAATTTACTCGGCCGCTAATACAGCTGTGAGTTTTGATGGCGATGCTTATTGTCTGATTCCATCCGCACACGTCAGCTGTCATTCGGTTATTCACATATTCAGAATAAGTCAGGTCGTCCAATATAATGCTTTTGTAGCCTGTCCTCATGTCGCTCTCATAACAATCATTATATATATGTATATACCGCTCTCTACTACTAAAAAATTCTATCCACGTGGAAAAACACGAAACCACCAACACTCTTATACATAACCGTGGGTTCAATTAACGTCTCAGTTATTTCACTCGACAATATATTGGTCCACAAAAATGCAACTGCACTTTTTGGATGCTACTATACATTCAAAGTATTTCCAAACCAAATGTCAGATTTTTGTTTCAAGAAAACCGATCTATACTTCAAGTCATTTAAACTCTCTAAATCTGTATTAGTAGTTTTCTACTAATAAAATAGTGCCGATTCGTTTACCAAATAAGTTAGGAACTGTTTTTACTAATTTTTAGTAGTTCTTCACTAATTATTATTAGTAGAAAATTTACTAATTTGAAATAGTAAGAAATACGTTCTACTAATTGAACTAGCAATTTTCTACTAGCAATTAGTAAAAAACTACTAAAAATTAGTAAAAAAATGTTAAATTAATCTTTCATAGTAGCAGGGCTCGAACTAGATCCGTAAAACACGTAAAGGTCCGTAAATTTGCTTCAAGTTCGTAAAGTAAATTTTTTTTAAAAAAAAGTCCATAAATTCCGTAATTTGATTGAGAAAAGACGAAAAGTCGGTAAATTCTACGATCTAATTTAGAAAATTTTAGAGAAATTACAAATGATTGAAGAAATTCAATTATTTTCAAAAGTTATTACTTTTGAAAATAATTGAATTTCTTCAATCATTTGTAATTTCTCTAAAATTTTTTAGAGAAGAGTTTTTACATTCTTCGCAAACATTCAATTATGTACAAAATTTTTTTTAAAATTCTCGTCAAAATTTCAATTATCTTTATAAATAATAAAATTCTTCTCTGAAATTCAATTACATATTTTCAAAAATTTTAATGAAATTTTTGGCAAAATTTCAATTATTTTCAAAGATTTTCCTGAATTCAATGATTTTTAATATCTACTATTTCAATAAAATTTTCCAAAAGAATTCAATTTATTTAAAAAACAATTAATAAAATTCTAAGCAAACCTTTCATTATTTTCATAAAAAAAATTAAAATTTCACAGAAATTCAATTATTTACAAATATTTTATAAATTTCTTTGTATTAATTCAATTATTTTCAGGGATTCAATTATTTTCGTAACTAACAAAATTCTTCTTAGGAATTCAATTATTTTCACATATAATAAAACTCATTGCAGAATTTCAATTATTTATAATACAATTTTAATCGAATTCCTCGAAAAATGTGATTATTTAAAAATTTTTTATAAAAATTCGTCAAAAGAATTTAATTATTTAAAAATTTATTGACAAAATTCTTTATGAGAATTCAAGTTTAAGAAACATGCACATTATTCAATAAATTGTTCTTTTTGTATTTAAATAATTGAATTCTAGTAAAATTTTCTAATAAGAACTGATTTAATTAAAAATAGATTTTAGTTAAAATATTTTACATTATAATTGAATATTAAAAGCATTAGAAATAATTGATTTAATTATTTTTAAAACTTTTTCAAAATTCTCTTCAAAATTTCAATTATCTTCTCCGAAATTCAATTATTCAAAAAAATTTTAATACAATTCTTGGCAAAATGTCAATTATTTTCCTCAATTCAATGATTTTCAATATCAGAATTCAATTATTTAAAAAAAATTTGATAACATTCTACGCAAACATTTAATTATTTTCATAAAAAAATGAAAATTTCACAGAAATTCAATTATTTACAAATATTTTACAAAATTTCTTTGTATTAATTCAATTATTTTCGTAAATAATAAAATTATTTTCAGGAGTTCAATTATTTTCATAAATAATAAAACTTATTTGCAGAATTTCAATTATTCTTAAAACAATTTTATTCTAATTCCTCGAAAAATGTAATTTCAATGTAAAAATGAATTTCAATTAAAATTTTAGATCATAATTGAATATTAAAAGCAGTATAGCGTGAATTTTTAGAAATAATTGAATTTTGAAAAGGTTTAAAATTAAAATCTTTGAAAATTTCATTTTTTCATTCTTTAAACAAACAATTCTGTAGAATTAATTTTTTTTTTGCAAAAATTTAATTGAATTTTTTTTAAATTGTTTAAAGATTCTATTTTCTAATAAATATTCAATTGAAGAATTTCCGAATAATTGGCATTTTGTAGAATTGAATTGTAAACAAAGGGATTTGATAATTGTCAAAGAACTTTTTCGAAAATTCTTAAAAATAATTGATTTAAAGAAGAATTTTAGTTTTTGTTTTATTTTTAATACAATTTTCATCGAATTCCTCAAAAAATGAAATAATTGAATTTTGAAAAGGTTTCAAACTAAAATAATAAAATAAAATTAATTTTTTTGAGAAAGTTTAATTGACGATTTTTTTTCAAAATTATTTGAAGTTGTTATTTTATAATGCATATTTAATTGAAGAATTCAAGAATAATTGAAATTCTGTAAAATTGAATTGTAAACAAATGAATTTGAAAATTTTCAAAGACATTTTTCAAAAACTATTAAAAATAATGCATTTATAGAAGAATTTTATTTAAAAACACGAAAAAGAATTTAATTTTGGAAAAGTTACAAATTATTGCAGAAATTCAATTATTTTCAAGAGTAATTATATTCTTTGCAAAAATTAAAATATTTTTCAAAAATCATAAAATTTTTCTTAGGGATTTAATTATTTTAAGAAACATTCAATTATTCAATAAATTATTTATTTTTGTATTTAAACAATTGAATACTAGTAGAATTTTCTAATAAAAATTGATTTAAAAATGAATTTCAGTTAAAATTTTAGATAATAAAAAGGATATTAAAGCATATTAAAGCATATTAAAAGCAATATAGCAAGAATTTTTAGAAATAATTGAATTTTGAAATTAATTTTTTTGTAAAAGTTTAATTGAATTTGTTTTATATATTATTTTAAGTTTTTATTTTCTAATATATATTTAATTGAAGAATTTACGAATAATTGAAATAATAATAATAATTGTAATAATAATTGAACAATAATTTCGTAAAGTTGAATATTTTAAAGTTTAAACAAATGGATTTGAAAATTGTCAAAGAACATTTTCGAAAATTATTAAAAATTAATATAGATAATCGATTTAAAGAAGAATTTTAGTTAAGAATTCTTGAAAATAATAATTGAATTGATAATAATTTTATTACTCGGTCATCTTCAATTATTATAAAACTTGAAGAAATCGATAAATCCGAGTCGAAGACTCGGAGTTATCGATTTCTTCATGTTTTATAGTTATAAAAAATTTAATTTATAGTTTTAAGTGAAATGTTTTCTTATTTGACTCGGACTGGTTATATTTTTGTTAGTAATTAGTACCGTAATTTTTAATTTTTGGTCCGTAAAGTCTGTATTTTGAAACACTTTCTCTCGTTCGAGCCCTGTATTACAAAAGAAGAGAAATTTTAACATTTCAATGAATGTTGAAAATTGAATTCATCTTTCATAGTAGGAAGAATATTTCGAGGAAAGAAAAGAATATTTATCATTTAAAAATATGTTTAAAATCACTAGTTCTGCGGTGAAAATAAATGGCTGTGGGTGATCAATGAACATACACCAATTTAGAAAACAATGAATTTCATTTTTGACATGCATTGTGTCCACCAGCTGACACTATGCGCAACACAATGGGTCATTGGCATCGCAAATATAATGTAAAATCGTTTTGCTCCAAGTGCGCGGCTCGCAACTACATCTGCTTCCATATTCCACTTGAAAGGGTTTTTTGCATTACTTGCCAATATATGTGAAAACATATTTGAAAGTGTGCCTTTTATATATATATATCTAAAATGAATGTATTTGACACGAGTATTTAAATTGTATAATACACCAATACTAAAAATTTCGCGAAGAAAGATGAATCTGGAGAAATGCATGTGCGTCTTGAAAACAGTCGCGTATCTATCATGCACTTACGAAATATCCCATTAGGTAAATTGATAAATTGTGAGATGCCAAGTACGTCTTGCTGGCCTTTCGCCAACTTCTGAAAACCTCTGGCTATTTAACGAAAATGAAAATCAATCGCTCCATCTTCTCTTTTAGAGAGCAAATGATCCTCTAAAACGGTGAAAAATCACTTCTAGAAATTCTTTTCGAATTTAAAGATAATATTCTATATTGTAATTTCAAAAATTGTAATAATCAAAATATTTCTATTTTAATGTTGCAGGCATTTTTATTAGGAGCAAAATCATTAATGTCACGATTCTCATCGCCAAGATCATCGTTAAATTCAAAAAACCAAAGATCATTTTCCCCGACTCCATCTACCTCAGGATCTTCATCACCAACGAACAAGCAGCATCAGTATTCATCCGAGGTTAGTGCAACTTTATTTCAGTCATTTAATTTAGTTGCTTTTAAATTAGATTTTCCTTTAAAATAGAGACTATCGAATATAAAGAAAAACTATATTTGAACGCAGACAGATGGTATTTTTCCGAATTTTATCGCGTGAAACTCATAAATTTCTAAAATAATTGGATAAATGCTAAATTTTACCCCCCCCCCCCTCAAACCCCTTAATAAAAATGAAATTAGCCTGTTCGTTTTATGTCTCTTGACGAAAATGTCGAAAGAAAATTCCCCCGACATTTCGGCTCGTTATTTTCATGACCTTTTTCTCTCCCATTACCTTTGACATAAAAAAAAAGGATCGGCGAAAGAGAGGCTTATTGACCTTTCTTTAAGGAGTTTTTAAATGACGGGCGTAACGATCGTGAATTAAAGGAAGTCATTTATTTAAAAAGGGAAATTTCATTTTATTGGAGTTTATTTACACGACGTGGTTTACGGTGTAAAAGTCTTCTCCACTCTATAATGGTTTAAGAGTTGCCTGCAAGTACCCTCCCCTCACCCTCCGTAATTTGCCAAACTTGACAGTTTTACTGTATACTGAATTTCTACTTAACAGAATTGACGATTTAAAAAATTTCTATTTAAATTCTATTTAAATAAAGTCTGTTTGAATCTAGTTTTTATTTAAGAACAAACAAATTTACATGTTCATGAATACTTTTATTTAATCTAACTTCCTTGAAATTTGGTTGTATAAAAAAATACAAGATTCATTTTGTTAAATAAAATTGTTCAAAAAATTGAGCTTCACACAAGTTTAGCCTCATTGATAGTAAATAAAATTTATATTAAAATTACATAAGTCCTTAATCCATTTAGTCCCAAATGTCCGTTTTTCTTAGTACAAGTTCGAGCTTTCCGTTCTACGAGTTCCGGTTTTAAAAAAAATTGGGACAAAGGTTTTCTTATGGATTTGAGTGTCCTCTTTCAGAATCTGAAAAAAAATTTCGATTTAATGATAAAAAGTTATAATTGATTAAACAAAAAAAGCCGTTTTTTTAGTGTTTTTTGTTTTTTCTTTAAAATCAGATTATTTAATCGAAATCGGCTTGAAAAAAAATCCGGAACATCAAAATATCGCGTCCAAAATGTTGAGACTATCAAATAGACATGCTGCCGAAAACAATTTTTTTCAAATTTCAAAATGGCGCCTCAAAAATGGCCGGCAAAAGATGCAAATTTGGAAAAATAATTTTAAAAAAATTTTACACTACATTTTTTTTTACTTTTATGCTTCATTTAAATAAAATAATGCTGCTTCAACAAAAAATATTGTTATTTGATGTTATTCAACAATATTATAAACAATTTTTATAAAAAAAGATGTTTAGAGTGGAAAAAAATCTTCTTTTCTTCACTACTAACTTTCTTTTGTCATTAAAAGTGGAAACTAAAGTATCTACCGTTTATAAAAAATTTGTAAACAATGTATAAAAATGTTGTAACAAATTCTTATAAACAATTTGCTAAATATAAAGTACCATCATTGAAAAAAAGCATTTTTTTATTATATAATGCCTTCTTGTATTTAAAATCTTTGTTATAGATATAAACTTTCATTTAACATTATTTAGCAATTTTTAAAAATGTTATAAACAATTTTTATAGAAAAATCAGTTCAGGGTGGGAAAAAATTTTTTTCTTTACCACTAACTTATTCTAACATTAAAATGGAAACTAACGTCTTAGAGAACTCAAAACAAAGATAAACTTAAAAAATAATTAAAATTGAACGTAAGAAACAAAAAGTGATAATTCTAAAAAACGTACACCTAAAAGTAGTGAATGTTCTGCAAAAGAGATATTTTAAACCGCTAAGGAACTTCTTCTTCTTCTTTTAAATTTAATTATAAAAAAATATTTAAAACATCTATGAAAAATATTTATAACATTTATAAAAAATTGTTTATATTATTTTTAAAAATTGTTTATAAATTTTGGATAAACGGTTGAAACATCAGTTTCCATTTTAATGTTAGAATAAGTTAGTGGTAAAGAAAAAATTTGGTTTGTCTTTAATATATCTATTCTAATTCTAATGTCAAACAAACAAATAAAGAAAATCAAAATTTTTTCCCCACCCTGAACTGATTTTTCTAAAAAAAATTGTTTATAACAATTTTTAAAAATTGCTAAATAATGTTAAATGAAAGTTTATATCTATAACAAAGATTTTGATTACAAGAAGGCATTATATAATAAAAAAATGCTTTTTTTCCATGATGGTACTTCATATTTAGCAAATTGTTAAATACAAATTTTATTTATTTTATTTTTTTACAAATTTTATTGTTTTTATACATTGTTTACAAATTTTTTATAAACGGTAGATACTTTAGTTTCCACTTTTAATGACAAAAGAAAGTTAGTAGTGAAGAAAAGATGATTTTTTTCCATTCTGAACATCTTTTTCTATAAAAATTGTTTATAACATTGTAAAAAAATCTTAAATAATTACAGACAAAGATTTGTCTTTTAAATATCTATTTTAATGACAAACCAAATAAATAGTGAACAAAAAATTTTCTTTTCACTCTAAACTTCTTTTTCTATGAAAATTGTTTATAACATTTTTAAATATTGCTAAATAATGTTAAATTAAAGTTTAAACCTTAAGCAACATTTTCACTACAAGAGAGCATAATAAAATTAAAAAATAATTTTGTTCTACCATTCTATTTCATGTTTTCAAAATTGTTTAGAACATTCTTAAACATTGCAAAATAATTTTGAATTAAGTTTTTTTTTTCAGTATCCATTTTTACCTCCCCCGAAAAAACAGAAGTGATGAAAATAAATTTTTTGCTTCCACTTTGGCCCATAGTTTTCAAATTGTTTATAAAAATTGATTATAATATTGTTAAATAACATCAAATAACAACATTTTTTGTTGAAGCAGCATTATTTTATTCAAATGAAGCATAAAAGTAAAAAAAAGTAGTGTAAAATTTTTTTAAAATTATTTTTCCAAATTTGCATCTTTTGGCGGCCATTTTGAAATTTGAAAAAAATTGTTTTCGGCAGCATGTTTAATTGATAGTTCCAACATTTTGGACGTGATATTTTTATGTTCCGAATTTTTTCCAAGCCGATTTCGATTAAATAATCTGATTTTAAAGAAAAAAAGTATTTTAGTGTTTTAAAAACACTAAAAAATGGCTTTTTTTGTTTAAACAATTATAACTTTTTATCATTAAATCGAAATTGAATTTTTTTCAGATTCTGAAAGAGGACACTCCAATCCGTAAGAAAACCTTTGTCCCGATTTTTTTTTAAAACCGGAACTCGTAGAACGGAAAGCTCGAACTTGTACTAAGAAAAACGGACATTTGGGACTATAAATGGGTTAAATTGCTTTGTAATTATTTTCCTCTTGTTGATAGTATACTTTGTACTTGAAATGATAAAATCTTTGTTTTCTAGAACGCTTTAATCATCATATTGATAAATTCCTTTCGGGTGAAATTGTTCCGTTGATGGTGGGAAGATTGCATTACTAAGTACACAAGATGTTAATTAATTAACTTAATGCTAGTTGGGGCAAAGTTGAGTTTCCATGAACTAATTAAATCAAACTTTCTGTACCCCTTTCGACGTTTGAAGCTTTTGGCATATGACCCATCTATTCAAAGTCGCTTTTAACAGGAAACGTAAGGCAAGACCTTGTGTACAAGAGCTCCTTTACTCGTTGAAAGGGTAGTCAGAGACCCCTTCGGATGAATCCTTCTTTGGCATCCACCAAGGAGAAAAACCGGTTTAGCCTTTAGGTGGAGGTGCACTCTGTTGAGATGCTTCCTATATATTTTTAACTAAAGAAAGTAACAGGATAATGGTTTAAAGAATGTTCTTCAGGGACAAAGGCTCAATTATACTTTGCCAAGACCTCGAATTTCATTCTTGCAGGTTCATTCATTTTTTTAATTATCTTATGTTCCAAGAAGTAACGCTTCCCTTTATTCTTTACAACAATTTTTAAGATGCAGTCAATTGTTTTCATTAAGTACAACACTGATGAGTGTATCTATTTTTTTTTAAATCAATTTTCCAGTAAGCTTTCACGATTCATTATACGGGTAACAGAACTGGGTCCGTAAATTTGCATCAAGTTCGTAAAAGTCAGTTTTTTTTGCAAAAAGGTCCATAAAGTCCGTAATTTGATTAAGAAAAGACGAAAATTTCGTAAATTGTACGATATAATTTGGAGAATTTTAGAGAAATTAGAAATGAATGCAGATATTCAATTATTTTCAAAAGCAATAAAATTCTTCGCAGAAATTCAATTATGTTCAAAACTATTCAAAAATTCTCGTGAACATTTCAATTATCTTTAGAAATAATTAGGGGAGAGTCTCCAGTTGTGAGACACCTCCAGTTGTGAGACAGTCAATTTTTTTTAACATGCAATATTAAAAAGCCGATTGGTTTATATAAAAACATTTCTTTTTATATGAGCCAACTTTTTCGTGTACGCCGAAGCGGATATATAAACTGTTTTTGTTAAATACCAACACTGTGTGTGATAATCGACTAAAAAGCGTTTTTTCAATAAATGCAAAGTACTTTTTGTCCAAGTTAATTAATTGGAAAAGGTAAATGTAATGCATTTTCTTTTAGTGTTTTTCTTATATTTTGTGATGCAATATTGCATTGTTCCAATCTACGGTTGAAAATAATTTAATTTTCCTTTTTCAAAATAGCGCCAATTTCTGGGTGTGAGACACAGCATATCACCAGTTGTGAGACGGTGTCAACACCCATCTGGGCAGCATAAAAAATACGACTTTGCAGGCATACTATTTAAATGTTGTTTTGATTTTTTTTCTAGTATTTTTGGGCATGTCAAGTGGAAAAAAGTCAATTGATTCAGAAGAAATCAATTTTAATGCTCTTGTTGAAGCTATTAAATTGTGTTTATTTGATAGTCATATTTTGGCGAATAAATATTATTATTCAGTATATAAT